ACAGCTTCATAGCACCCCAGCACTCCCCCCCAAGAACAGCTTCATAGCACCCCAGCACCCCCACCCCTTAGAACAGCTTCATAGCACCCCAGCACCCCCCAACATTCATGATTTGCTGGCATATCTTTCAACTTTTTTGATCATCACAATAACTCTATGTAAATTTTTTGTTTTGTATTTACATTTTCTATAGCTGCTTATGTTTTCATCTACTTTTTTTTTTTTTTTACAGGAATTTTTTGAGGCAAATTTAACTGACATGAGAAGCTCAAGTAATTTGGTCTGCATTAGAGCAAGTTTGCCATCTAAATAAAGTTTGCCTTGTTCTACTCCTACAGTTTAAAGTTAAAAGCATTCTGTATGCATGATGTACAAGACTATAAAATTTTAAAAACTTGTTTAGAATAAAGCTACTACTATGTAGGTCAGAAGAATCTAAATGTTTTGCTTATCACAGTCTTTACAAAAGTAAATGTCATGTTCTTCAAGTAATTATTGAGCAGATATTTCTTGAGCACTTACTACTGAATTAGCAGGCATATTTAGCAAATCATTGGGGTACTAACTTTCCCAGCAATTAATAGACCCAAGACATAATGAGAAAATCCTTGTCTATTTCATCCCCAATTCTAAAGTATCTATGTATTAAAAGCAGGAGTTCTTAATGCTGTAGTGTGCCTGAGATTCAATGTGTGACATTTCCTAGCAATGCAAGTTTTTAGGGCCATTTCCTGAGAGTTTGATCCAGAACCTCCAGCCTTCTGGTTAGCAGTCAGATGTCTCAGGCAAGACTGCCACCAGAGCTCCTTACTTCTTTGGCAGGACCCAGTGATCTCCCTCTTTAACAGACATAACAGTGCCCAGGTGACTCTGATGCAGATGTTCAAACCACCCTTTGAGATAAATTGTTAAGGTAACAAGAAAAAAGTTTCAAAAAATGAAAGCCCTGTACTAACTTTAGCTACACTTGTGGCAGAGAGATGCCTCTCATACTCTTATTCTGGAGGGACAGGTGAATATGTACAAAGTGATCTGGGAGGATGAACCTTACCATCTGAGACCTCAATACTCAGGAACTCTGAGGACCTGGATTGACCTGTAATCTGATGGAAAGCATTAGACCTCCACTCTTACACAATCTCAGAAAGTATGTTCAAACTTTCTGAGAACTTACACAATCTCAGAAAGTATGTTCAACTTTCTAGAACTTCCATTGCTAATTCTCCAAAGAGACACTAATTGGGGAAACATAATGCTAAGTATCAGGAGACATACCTCAGAGACCATCTTTCTTCTAAAGCAATGGTTTTTGACACGTTTTTCTCTTTTTTTAAGCATTGGAATCTTGACATTCTCCCCTGCTCTCCCCATTGCCCTGTCCTCTGTATTGGCCCTGAAGTCTGAGACTTTTAAATTTAATACAGGTGCTTTGGTGCTGTAGTGCTTAAGGCATTTGACTTACAACCAGAAGGCTGGTGGTTCAAAACCACCAGCCACTCCTCTGAAGGAAGTCTGGGCAGTTTTATCTGCCACCTTGGTGGTGCAGATGGTTAAGCATTTGACTGCTGGCTGAGAGGTGGGAAGTTCGATCCACCCAGAAGTGTCTGGGATGACAGGTCTGGCAATTACTTCCTAAAGGTCACAACCTTGAAAACCACTATGGAGGGAGGAATTCCTGCAAGATGGTGGACTAGGCAGAAGGACTGCACAGACCCTCTTCAACAAAGAAAAGGGAAACCAATTAACACAGACACAGAAGATAATCTTGGACCCCTGAGCCTTG